ATTGATTTTACTATAAAAAGAACCTAGAAATGGAGCTCAAAGTAGGGGAAATGTTTGATTTTTGCCAATGTTCAAAAGTAAACAAATGATGCCATTGTCCAATAAATGTCCAACTAGCCATTCTAATATGCAGTCATGAATGGGTTGATGTTATTTATACAGGTATTACAGCATTGCAGTAGTCTGCATAATAGTAAGTCTAATATATTTTGTTTGAATAAAAATTCAAAATAGAAAGCAAGAGTAATACCAGAGGGGCCTGGAGACGTGACTGATGAACAAAGAAAACGTTATTTTAGAGCCTGGAATGTCTGCATTGTTCATTCTGGACCATATTTTGAAATTGTCATATTTTTTAGTTTTCGTGAAATTGGCCAAATTGCAAATTTCTGACCACATTATTAGGTAGTTGAAATCAGTAAATGGGCAGTTTCTTGTACTCAATCGATAGAAAAAATGAAGTTCTAAAGAAATAGCTATGAGTTTGGGCGACTGGAACAATGGAATTAGCCGAAAATAGGGCTCAAAGTGGGCGAAATCGCCGATTTGTAAACAGCGCCGAGGTCGCTAACTTCGCGAGAGCATAATTCCGTCAGTTTTCCATCAAATTTCGTTTTTTTGGTGTCATTACAATGGGAAAAGATTCTCTATCATTTCATAAGAAAAAATAATTTTTTTTTTTAAATTTTGCGACACCAGGAGACACCTCAGGATTGGGGGTTGCGACAATCAAAGGGTTAAAATATAGGGTGAGATGAGTAGTATTTATTGTAAAAAATCAAGTGTGGTATGTATGGTAGTCAGCCGGGCTACCATACCAGAGAGAAAGAATGAGTGCATGAGAGAGGACAGGCGCAGAGTTATGTAAACAAACCAGGCGAAGGTAAGTTTTGTAAACAAACAGTGTACACGTCTGGTTTGTGTACAAGTTACATTGTGTACAGGTTGTCTCTACATTGATACGGTGGAATAAATAAAGAAGAACACTCCCATTCTCATGTAACATCATTTGAGAAGAAATGATGCTCTGAGTGAAGGCAATGGAAGTAAGTCACTCTGACTTTTTTGGGGTTATCCTAGGTTCTCTACACATATGTTGTTATGTATTTATGTTATGTATCGTGTTTATTATATAATTTTGAAAAAAATATCACGGATGGATTAATGAAAATGTGTATATTAACGTAATATACAACATTTAATGATACACCGAGCTCAGACAGTGTAAACAAACAAACTGAACAGGTTGTGGACGATCACTCGGTCAGGCGAAATAGACGGTATTAATACGTGTCCAGTTTTTTGTTCATTCATGTACATTTGTAAGAGTTTGTGAAACTTTTACCTTATAATATTTTATTATTATTATAAATAATTAAATCACGAAACAAATACTCTTACACTGTGTACAAGTTAGTACAGAATTATAGCTATAAAAGTGAAGGCATACGAAAGGAATATTTTTCTACAGTTATCCCTAGTAACAGGTGACGGCTAGAGAAAATGTAATTCTTCCGACACTTCTACAAACCGTTTGGTAAAACATCTCATATATATTTGTATAAATTTTATACTGTGGGTGCATGTATCATGTTTTGGTGTTACATAATGTGTTTCTTATATAATTTTGAAAAAAATATCATAGGTAGATTAAGGGAAATGTTTATATTAACGTAATATGCGACATTAATGCGCCCAAGAGATATTATTATATATTATTATTATTATTATTATTATTATATTGCATCAAGAGTAGAGAGACTCTTAGTGATTTTAATGTGTACCTACATGCCAGCACAGTGTGTAAGTTTATTTAGGTACAGGTGTACACAAGTTTAATTATCAAGTACAATACATATAAAATATACAATAACTTTAAAACACTTGAAATTTTGGAAAGTTTCCAGACATAATAAGATGTGCTCAGGGAGAATGTAAACAAACTCGGTGGGCCGCTGTGACCGTATTAGAAAGACAGGTGGGGGGAGCCGCATAGCGAGTTTTGGTCATAATTTGAAATGTCCGTATTAGCGGAACGCCGTAAAGCGAAACGCTGTAAAGCGGGGCCCTGCTGTATTCTCATTTTTTCGGTCTCATTTGATAGAATGAAAAATATATATCAGAAATAGATATGATTTTGATTGCTTTCATGATGAAAAGTACCTTGAAATTGCACTCACAGTAGCAAAAATGTTTTATTCTTTAGTGAAGCTCAAGAGTAAACAAATGACGTCACCATCCAATACCTGTCTGCCTGTCAGTCTAAATTCCAATACAGAGTCAAGAATGGCTTGACATTATTTATACAGTTATTACAATAATGCAGCAGTCTGCATAACAGTAAATCTTCTATTTTTTTGTGAATAAAAATTCCAAATGAAAAGCAAGAGTAATATAAGAGGGGCCTGTAGCCATGACTAATTAACAGAGAAAATATTATTTTAGTGCCAGGAATGTCTGCATTGTTTATTATGGACCCTATTTTGAAATTGGCATCTGTTGAAATTTGTATGAAATTGGCTAAACTGCCAATTTCTGACCACTTTATTGGGTAGTTGAAATAAGTGAATGGGCAGTTTCTTGTACTCAGTTGACACACTAGAAGTAAATAAGTTTATTATTTCCAGTACCTGGCTTGGGCTTGCCATATATGATTTTTGGTTAATACTTTTTTTTCTCGGTTGTTTGTTGGGCTGTCTCATTGAAACTTGGGCAATGTATGATGGAAAGATGCTTCTTAACGTACAACAAAAATAAAAAAGATGGACGATAAATAAGGGAGTTAACTTCTCAGCCATTAGCCGCCTCTTTGCAGTATATTTTCGTATGGTTTTTATGGTTGTATTCTCATTTTTTTTACTCATTTGATAGAATGGAAGATATATTACAGAAATAGACATGATTTTGATTGCTTTCATGATGAAAAGTACCTTGAAATTGAGCTCAAAGTAGCGGAAATGTTCGATTTTTGCCGATGTTCAATGAACTGTGTAAGTCAAGTTGGTTAATTTTATTAAGTGTATTTTAACCTAACCACTCTGTAATTCGGCAAACTCAGTAATCCGGCACACTACAGGTCCCAATGATGCCGGATTTGTGATGGAGGACCTGTATAGTAGTACCAACACTCTTATATGGGTGTGAAGCTTGGGTTGTGAATGCAGCAGCAAGGAGGCGGTTGGAGGTAGTGGAGATGTCCTGTCTAAGGGCAATGTGTGGTGTAAATATTATGCAGAAAAGTCAGAGTGTGGAAATTAAGAGAAGGTGCAGAGTTAATAAAAGTATTAGTCAGAGGGCTGAAGAGGGGTTGTTGAGGTGGTTTGGTCATTTAGAGAGAATGGATCAGAGTAGAATGACAAGGAGAGCATTTAAATCTGTAGGGGAAGAAAAGCGGGGTAGGGGTCGTCCTCAAAAAGGTTGGAAGGAAGGGGTAAGGGAGGTTTTGTGGGCGAGGGGCTTGGACTTCCAACAGGTGTGCATGAGTGTGTTCGATAGTAGTGAATGGAGATGAATGGTATTTGGGACCTGACGATCTGTTGTAGTGTGAGCAGGGTAATATTTAGTGATGGGATTCAGGGAAACCGGTTATTTTTATATAGCCGGACTTGAGTCCTGGAAATGCGAAGTACAATGCCTGCACTCTAAAGGAGGGGTTTTGGGATATTAGCAGTTTGGAGGGATAGGTTGTGTCTCTTAATACATATATACTTCTAAACTGTTGTGTTCTGAGCACCTCTGCAAAAACAGTGATTATGTGTGAGTGAGGTGAAAGTGTTGAATGATGATGAAAGTATTTTCTTTTTGGGGATTTTCTTTCTTTTTGGGTCACCCTGCCTCGGTGGGAGACGGCCGACTTGCTAAAAAAAAAAAAAAAAAAGAAAAAAAAAAGGAAAGGTACACATAAGTATAATTATCAGAGTATATATAAAATCTGAAATAACTTTAAAGCACTTGAAATTCTGGAAAGTTTTCACACATAACAGAGAGACAGGTGCTCATGGAGAATGTAAACATGCCAAGTAGCACACAGTGACCATATTAGAAAGTCAGATGGGGAAGCAGTATAGAAAGTTTTAGTCATAATTTGAAATGTCTGTATTAGCGGAATGCCGTAAAGCGGGGCCCTACTGAACTTAGTATGCATACAATACAAAATTACAAGACATAACTCATATCTGATTAAAATAATTTTCATTATAAAGTATTTCTATTATTATTAATTTTTTAAAACACTGTCTCATCGTGGTAGGACAACTTCAGAAAACAGAAAAACACATTCACCATTATTCACTCAATAGCTGTCTTGCTAAAATGCATAAACATGACAATTCAGATAATCCTCCAGACTACAACATCCTCACTGTTCCTTCAGGGTGAAGGCACCGTACTTACCATTATTATTATATTTTCAACTCAACTGCAATTCCTGCCTTCTCCAGTCGAGGAAGGGTGATCCGAAAAAGAAGAAACATCCTTGCCATTATTCACTCTATCAGTGTCTTGCCAGAGGCATGTCAATACTACAGTTCAGATGTTTTTCAAACTGTAATTAACCCACACCCCTCCATCAGAGAGCAGGCACTGCACTTACCTCCTCTAGGTGAGAAGTACACAAAATCCATGTTGGTCATTCAGTGCAAGGAGGGGTGGAGGCTTAATCCTCCAAACACTAATCATATCCCTGTCTCTGATCAGTCAGGAATTTGGTAATCTACACTAAACTATTGAAATATTGTATTGTAAATGCTTTTTTTTTTTTTGCCTTAATACAAAAATGAAAGAGGGGTGTTGATATGTTGTAGTTTTTAACTGTAGTGTAGGCGCACCTCTGGCAAGACAGTGATAATGTATGATTGATGATGATGATTATGGAAGTGTTTCTTCTTTTATGGGTCACCCTGCCTTGGTGGGAAACAGCAGATGTGTTAATGAAAAAAGAAAAGGCTATCAGACATAACTATATGACAGGATCATAGGTCAATGGAGATGCAGCGCTTTACCTTTTAATGCTGTGACTAGTGTGGGAGTGCTGTGATCATCAGAAGACCCATGACCAAGTCTTCCATAGTTTCCTCGCCCCCAAGTATACAATTCTCCTTGGCTAGAAATGGCTGCACTGTAGGTTGATCCACAAGCGATGGACACCAGTGTTTTTCCTTGTAGTTCTTGTATGAGAGTTGGCTCTTCCCGGGAGCTACTATCACCATGCCCAAGGCGTCCCCCATCACCATTACCCCAGGAGTATACCTGCAGGATAAAACAATAACAGGGACTGTAATATACTCAAAGAATGACAGAAGATGAATAAAGAATATTCTGAAGGCTTGTGGAATTTCTTTTTCATGTATAAAATCCAAATACATACTGTAATTTGCAACTAGATAGAAGGGGGTGGACTACTTCTACAACTTTGAATACTCGTCCACAAAATGTTATGTTATGCATTATAAATTTAGTTGCAGGAATCTTGGCCACAAGTTATCTGATCAATAAAATTATATGGATTTTTTTTTTAACACGTTGGCTGTTTCCCACCAAGGCAGGGTGACCTGAAAAGAAAGAAAAATCCAAAAAGAAAAAAAAAACTATTATCATCATTCGACACTTTCACCATCACTCATACAAAATCACTGTCTTTGCAGAGGCGCCCAGATACGACAGTTCAGATGTCCCTCCAAACTGCCAATATCCCAAACCCCTCCTTTAAAGTGCAGGCAGTGTACTTCCCATTTCCAGGACTCAAGTCCAGCTAACTGGTTTCCCTGAATCCCTTCACAAAATATTACCCTGCTCACACTCCAACAGCTAATCAGGTTCCACAAACAGTTCATCTCCATTCACTCCTATCTAACAACACGCTCATGCATGCTTGCTGGAAGTCCAAGCCCCTTGCCCACAAAACCTCCTTTACCCCTTCCCTCCGGGTCGACCCCTACCCTGCCTTCCTTCCCCTACACATTTATACACTCTACAAGTCATTCTATTTTGTTCCATTCCCTCTAAATGACCAAACCACCTCAGCAACCCCTCTTCAGCCCTCTGACTAATACTTTTAGTAACTCCACACCTCCTCCTAATTTCCACACTACGAATTCTCTGCATAGTATTTACACTACACATTGCCCTTAGACACCATCTCAACTGCCTCCAATCACCTCCTCACCGCAGCATCTACAACCCATGCTTCACATCCATATAAGAGTGTTGGTACCATTATACTCTCCCTTCTTTTCCTCCTTGGATAATGTTTTTTGTCTCCACAGATACCTCAATGCACCACTCACCGTTTTTCCTTCATCAATTCTACAGTTAACCTCATCCTTCATAAATCCATCTGGTTACAAGTCAACTCCCAAATATCCTCCCTCCAATGTGATATACAATTTTTCTTTATCTAAATCATTTGATACCCTCATTTCCTTACTCTTATCTAGGTTCACTTTCAAGTTTCTACCTTAACACACCCTCCCAAACTCGTCCACTAACCTTTGCAACTTTTCTTTAGAATCCCCCAAAAGCACAGAATATTCAGCAAAATGTAACTGTGTCAACTCCCATTTTGTACTTGATTCCCCATAATTTAATCCCATCCCTCTCCCCAACACCCTAGCATTTACTTCTTTTACAACCCCATCTATAAATATGTTCAACAACCATGGTGACACTACACACCCTTGTCTAAGACCTACTTTTACTGAGAAGTAATCTCCCTCTCTCCTACACACCCTAATCTGAGCCTATCTTCATAAAAACTCTTTACAGCATTTAGTAACTTACTACCTATTCCATTCACCTGCAACATCTGCCACATTGCTCCCCTATCCACTCTACCACATGCCTTTTCTAAATCCATAATTGCAATGAAAACTTCCCTACCTTTATCTAAATACTGTTCATACATATGCTTCAATGTAAATACCTACCGAAGCAATCCTCTACTGGAAGACATTTCCCTTGCATGTGAACTTTACATAGCGACAATCATGGTTCACCACTTAGGAGATGAACCTTATGGCAACATTATGGCCCATCCTGGACCATTGTCAAGGTACACTGTGACCGTACAATGGTCCAAGATGGATCATAATGTTGTCATAGGGTTTTTCTCCTATGTGCGGATTTTTGGTGAATTGCTCCAACCATGTTATTTTGATTTTTTTTTCTCCTTCTGAAAATCATGGGATATAAAAGTCCCCATCTGAGCAAAATTTCATCCAATAAAAGTTCACTGATGCTGGTGCGGGGCTCTTGAGTCAAGGAATTGGTCCTGATCTCTTCTTCTTTGGATCAAACCTGATTACCTCCCATTCCCCTAGGTGCTGAATGACCCCTATGAGTTTAGCATTCCCCCCACCATCAATATAATAATAACTGCATTGCTAAGTGTGTTTTAATCATTTTTTTTGCATGTTACTCATCTTAAAATTTTAATACAATGGTAATTTATTTTTTCTATTATCAGATGTCATGATGCTACTTTTCTTTGAATGTGCTTATCTTTTTGCACATCTTTCTTAACTTCTTTCAACAAATCAGCCATATCCCACCAATGCAGGGTGGCCCAAATAGAAAAATGCTTTATATTTCTAGAAATGCAGACTTTTAAGCTACATAAATGACATGTTCATACGAAAGAAAATGACATTGCTCTCAAAACCAAAATTCGCTAAAAGAAAATATGCAAGCAGTCACACTTAATAAAGGTTCAGTTAATGACAATTCAAATTACTGATAAAATGTATGGGAACAAATGCATACTATGAATTGAGCTGAAGATCACGTGTATGTGACTCATGCAAGCCAAGACCGAATACTGATGGCAACATGCGACAGGCTGTAAGTACACTGTTGATTTATATTTTTCCTAGAGATAATATTTAGTTCCTAGGTAATAGGTTGGTAGACAGCAACCACCAAAGGAGGTACCATTATCTTGCCAAGAGAGTGTAAAATGAAAAGCCGTAATTGTTTTACATGATTGTAGTTGCTGTTTCTTTTTCTGTCTCATAAACATGCAAGATTTTAGGTACGTCTTGCTACTTCCACTTACACTTAGATCACACTACAGATGCATGTACAAGTATATATATACAGCAGGGCCCCACTTACATGGCAGGTTAGGTTCCAGGCTACAGCCGTAAAGCGGAAATCACCATAAAGTGGAACACCTTTTTTTCCACCATAAATGCATAAAAAATATTAGATAAAATTTTATAGAAATATTATTAAGTTAACAATTTAGAACGGCTTTTTAAAAAAATAATAAAAAGTAAAAACATATGTAACATCATTACTACCTAAAATATTTGTAGTCTTAATCTAGGGTGAGATGGTAGTTTTATTGTAAGAAAATCAAGTGGGGTACGTATGGTAGCAGCAAGGCTTACCATACCAGGCGAACCACCCAAAATACAAATATTCTTGACTTTTAAAAGCGTTACAGAGGCGATAAAATGCAATAGAGTTCACCCCAATTTATTTACTTTAAAATATTTTAGTCTTAATGTAGCGTCAGAGGTGATTTAAATGAAATAAAAACGAATAAATATGAGAGAGACAGAGAGAAAGAGAGAGAGAGAGAGTGGGTGAAGACGTGTCACAGTGTGCTCCACAAACTTTCTTAATATTACTTAAATACGGGGGTTTGGGTGTGGATAATAATGTTCAGTGACGTAGTATACTTACAACACTTTAGTACAAGTAAGCCAACTCCTCCACTGAATGAATATAAGAAATATCAGTGATATTAAGTGTGGTATGGTGAAAGACATGGTGAGTGAGGGGACAGCGGCGGGCCCTTAGGAGTGACTTCACTATTGCCTTCAGAGTGAGCATCTAATATTATGTTTTTTTTGTGCTATGTACTAGCATCTGTGCTTTATAACAACGTGGCTGGTACAATGCAACACATTTGATTTGTGTAACATCTTCCTTTAGTGGAAAAGTGGATAGTATAAAACAGTGTTTATTAAGTGATAGTGAGAAGGCAACACTTCCAGCTAGTCGGCTACTGCGCCCGCCCTCACTACCACCCGGCTATAAAAAAACCCCACCCACGATTACTCCACCCCACCACGACATCACCACCACCCTCTCTCCTGTGAACTTCCAAACCTACAAGCCCTCTGGGATGACTTCACACCGCAAAATAGCAAGAATATCTACGCTATCTGGCTATTGTCCCAGTAGTTACTGCAGTGTTTGGGGGTATCCCACAGGACAAAATTCTTCTTAGATGTAAGGAGCCTGCTTGTTCCAACTACTGCCACACAGATTGCATTCCAGAAGAAGAATTTTGTTGGCAGCCAGGTTGAAAATTTCAGAAAATTTAAGGATATCCATAATCCTGTGGTATATGTGGATACAAGCCTGGAGCTACAGGGGGAAAGGTTCAGAAGTCCTACCTCAGGGACTCCTGTCCAAAGATAAAGACTGCCCTTTTGGGGCTGTGTTGTAAAGTTGCAGCTAAGATAATCCATCACGGGGAAGCACTTCATGAGCTCCTCAAATCATTAGATAACCTACAAGCTATTGTAGAAGGCCAGTGCAAGCCTGCACCCAAGTGCGTAAGCTGCCCCAGCTGATGGTGCCCACTATTGGACAAAGACTGGAAGTCCACACTGAGCTTTTAAATCAGGGGTAAAAAACTGGTGGAATTCTGTCATCGCTAAGGTCCCACAGACTGACAGAGTTCAAAAACACTACCTTTGGGAATTCTAACACAATTCCTCTGACCACCACAGAGGGAACAAATCCTCTTCCAGAACGAGGGAAGCCTTGGATCTGTTAATTCTCCTACACCTGACATCTCTGCTTCAGCCACTGCCAGTCTACTTGACAGTGCACATACCATCTCTGATCCTAAAACCTGTCAGCACACCTGCCGATACTATTCTAGAATCTGGTAGCAGTGCTTCGACAGCAAATTCTGAGCCAGGAGTTTCTCCCCCAGAGAACGTTGCAGTTAATGATCAGGGAACTATCACTGCACCTAATCACCTACTGCGCCGAAGTACGAAAGCAGGGACACATCTGTCAGAACTGGGAGAGGACGGGGCAGAGGAAAGTGGAGGAGGACGTGGAGGAGGAAGACAACTACAGCCCTCTCACCCTCCATTAACACAGTTCCAGCGGCAGAATCTGAGGACAAATCTGCGAAACACAGGAGGTGCAACAAATCCTATCCACCCTCCCAGGCACCTAGGCTGTGCTCTCGCTGTCACGGAAGGGGCACTCTGGCCAACAAC